TACTCCGGAATATTGATAATGTTTTAAATCCAAAGTTTGCAAGTCTTAATATTCAAACGTGTGTTAATCATCGCTACATTCACGAATCAAATAAGATTTAAGAAATTTATACACACAGTTAAATATATTTAATTCTTCTGAATACATTTTATTATTATTTTAAGTACAATAACAATAAACATTTCTCATTTTGACTACATAAGATTTTTTATTAGAAATTTTTTTTAAATTGTAATCTTTTAATATTTGATTTTTTTATCATTTTGATATATTTTGCAATTGCGTTAATTAAGCGAAATGTTAAAAAAATATTATTGAGGAATTTATCTTATCAGAGAAGTAATAATTATTGTATATCTCTCTGACATTATTCCAACTTGTAGTGCTTGTTTGAAAATAGATGTAAGAATATCATATGAATAGTCGATTATGATATTTCTATGTCCAGACATCTTAACTTCTTTCATAGCTTATCTGCAAATAAATCATCTCGTCAATTTGGATGGCTCGTGTCTTCAGAAAAATTCTCGACAATAGTGACGTATCTGACGTTCGTTTCATATCCATATAATCGTAAATCATGCGATACTTTCTGACGTTTACTGTGGGATTAGATAACAACACAAGTGTATAATAATTTTGTTTAACAAACATTGCTTGCACCTACACTCAGACTCGTATGAGAAACGACCTATTGGTTCGCGCATGCATACCTAAAATTTAGTCCGCTACCTAAATGGACCATCGCGGAAAATGGTATGAAATATTTGGCAACTGGAGCAGCGGTTTATGCGTATCAAGCCATCCGCATTGTCGTAAAATACTGCATATTCTTTTCATTTGTATTCTTTTATTAAATCTTGTGAAACCTAATTTCAGGCATTATAATTTTAATATGAATGTAATCAATGACAATAATTATGGAAATTTGTTGAACATAAAAAAATTTTAATTTTCTTTGCTCTCAATCCTGATTAAATTACATTCAGTTAATGTAATTTAATCTGGATTCAGTTAGCAAAGAACAAATAAATACTTGCAAATAATCAAATTAAAATGCAATAAACTTACGAGTATATCGCATAAGAGATGTTTATCTGAGGTGCTGACAATGAAAATTTCTTATAAGCAATATAATTTTTTATTTTGGTTATAATACTTTTAGTTTAATTTAATATTTTAATAAAAAAATTCCAACCATAGAAATCGAATGTAATTGTATGACTTATGTCAGATTGTTTATAGATTGAAAGCAATTTTTGTGTATAAACTGCTAAGTTCATAAATAAAAATAAATACCATGGAAAGTGCGTCGAAGTGCGAATATAGGTTTATTACATTGCCATTGTTTTGGTTTAGAATCCCATCTGACAGCAATATGAGGTATATCCAAAGCACATACTTTGGCTGACTGTTATTTTGTCTTGAGGACCAAATATTGTAGCAAATCCGTTATTTATCAACTCGCACGCTGTATATTGCCCAGAAATGCATAATGTAATTTTACAAAACGTTTTGTATGCATTAATAATCAAGTACTTTATTGCTGTAATAAATTGAAGCATTATTCATTATTAATAAAATTACTAAAATTGCTTGAATTTTGATTCTATAACACATTATTTTATAATACATAAATAGTGTTTGAAAAAATTTATATGCAATATAACTCAAAGATTGTGGATGTAATACATGTTGCACGTAACAACAAATGCGTTTATTAGATACATCATATATATATATATATATATATTTGATAATCATCAAATCTAACTTCTGTAATTAAACAATTCAACATCGTATTTTTAATCTCGTATTTTTCTGTTAGTACAACCTTATTCTATCACTACATGAAGAATTTATTGCTA